CAGTGCTGGGCTGTGTGTAGTCTATTAAAAAATTAATTTAAAAACACCTTTTTTTTTTCTTGCTGCAAACTCTGAAGTATAAAAGCCTTTTTCTTTGGGGGCTGGAGAGATAGCACAGCGGGTAGGGCGTTTGCCTTGCACGCGGCCGACCCGGGTTCGATTCCCAGCATCCCATATGGTCCCCTGAGCACCGCCAGGAGTAACTCCTGAGTGCAGAGCCAGGAGTAAGCCCTGTGCATCGCCAGGTGTGACCCAAAAAGCAAAAAAAAAAAAGCCTTTTTCTTTGTAACTCTTGTGCGGTCTTTACCCACACTCGTGGTCATTCTTGGCTTAAGCCTCCCCAGCACGGCGGGGCCTTAGGTGTGAGGCTGGGTAGGAGGAAGTCACAGTCTTGGCCTGGGAAATGGTGAATGGTGGTCAGCTCAGCTTACGTTCACAGAACGAGCTGTCAGTTTTCATTCTGTGACCGAGAGGGTGGTCAGAAGTAGCCTGCGAGACCACAACACCCAATAAGAGAGAGAGAGAACAAAAGGGAATGCCCTTCCAAGAGGCAGTGTGGGATGGGGGGGATGGGGGGTGGGAGGGATACTGGGACCCATGGTGGTGGGAAATGGGCACCAGTGGAGGCATGGGTACTGGATCATTGTATAACTGAAACCCAAGCACAGAAATTTGTAAGTCTACAACTATACCTCACGGTGTCTCACTAATAAAAATTAAAAAAAAAATCAGAAGAAGTAGCCTGCGAATGGCCTGTGGTCCAGTGCCAAGCCCCTTTTTTAATGTACATATTACATGTTTTTCCAATTTGGCATGGTCACTGCACATATTTAGCTAGTTGGATATCTTTCATATTTTCGTCGAGTCATAGTGATATTTAACCTGACTTCCCTGCCAGCTTCTGTGACAGCCCAGCATTGAGAATGTCTCTGGGACTGTAGCAGAGCTAGGAGGCATGGCATGCTCTGCCTGCTCCAATCTCTCTGTTGGGCCTGTGAGCTGCCTGTGTTCTTCGTGGGGCCGGGGGAAGCGCTCAGTCGTGCTCGCTCGGCAGTTAAACACGGGCTGGAAGGGAAGTGGGCTGGCTTCCCGCCCTCCTTCCTGGCTGTGGTAAATGTGAACGGTGAGTCCTAGTTGGTTGAATGGGACTCCCAGAACTTCAGCTAGGCCACTCATTGCCTTGAGCTTCTTTTTTGTTCCTGTTTGCACTCTAGTAATTATCCTTCCACATAATCTGTCAAATAGGTCAATCTAAGCTGATTTCTTCTCCTATCTTTTTTCGGGGGAGGGGGGTGAGAGGTACCCACCAGTGGTGTTTAGTGCTTCCTTTTGGCTCTGTGTCCAGGGATCACTCCTGGTTGGGCTCAGGGGACCATATTGGGGGACAGGGATCAAACCGGGGTCTGCTGTGTGCAAGGCAGATGCCCTGCCCTCTGTACTTTCACTTTGACGCCTTCTCGTGTCTTTTTTTTTTTTAATTTTTATTAGTGAGACACCAGGAGGTACAGTTGTAGACTTACAAATTTTTGTGCTTGGGTTTCGATTATACAATGATCAAATACCCATCCCACCAGTGCCCATTTCCCACCACCACAGGTCCCAGCATCCCTCCCACCCCCCATCCCTCCCATCCTCCCCTGCCTCTGTGGCAGGACATTCCCCTCTGTTCTCTCTCTCCTTTTGGGTGTTGTGGTTTGCGAAAGAGTTAAGTCTGATTTTGAGGGAGAAACGTTGGATGATTTACTTTCCATTGATCACTTTGTATATAAGGAGATGTCACACACCCACGTAAGCGGCCACGCGGTTTGGAAAAAATGTCCTGGTACCCGCATGCCAGAGCCATGCTTGAAGAGGCTCATGGTCACCGGGGTTTCATCTGGAGAAGGTGGGATGCGGCACCTACCCCATCTGGGACCTTCCGGTGATCTCGGCTCTGTTTGGGGCCCGGAGCATTCTCCGGGAGCTGTGGGTCCCTCCAGCCGGTTTTCTTCTTTGTCGCTGTGTGCTGTAAGATGGCGCTGGAGGGGTGGTTGTGGGCATGACTTTGGGAATCAGAGGTTGCCTGGGAGATGGGGCGGCCCCAGTGAGCTTTGTAACTTTTCCCACAGTGATTCAATAAATAAATATAAGAAGAAAAAATAAATAAAAGCGATAGCACAGTGGGTAGGGCGTTTGCCTTGCAAGCAGCCAACATAGCCAACCCGAGTTCGATTCCTCTACCCCTCTCGGAGAGCCTGGCAAGCTCCCCATGACGTATTCAATATGCCAAACACAGTAACAACTAGTCTCACGATGGAGACGTTACTGGGCCCGCTCGAGCAAATCGATGAACAACGGGAGGACCGCGACCGTGATGAAAAGAAAAAAAGTAAGGTGGAGTTCATGTCCAATTCAATCAGCTAATCAGTGGCTGAATAAATAGCAGTACTCCTACATTAAAAAAAAATGGGATTAAAGAGATGTTATCACGCCCCAGAGTCTCTGTGATCCCCTTTCACGGTTGCTTTCAAAGCCAGGCTTCCTTGAGACACAATCCCAGGTTGAGCTCTTCCACACACAACGACGACCACGTGCTGGGGCACTGGGGCCCCGAAGGGTGAGCCTCCTTGGAAGCGAGGTGCCTGTTTTCTGGAACTTTCCGGAAGGTGAGGTGCCTGTTTTCAGGAACTTTCTGGAAGGTGACGTGCCTGCTTTCTGTGCTCCTGCGAGGCTCTGGCAGGAGAAAGAGAGAGAACCTAGCAGAAGAGGGCCTCTCACGGGTTCCATCGCCCGTTTTTTCTTGCTTGCTTCTTTCTTGTAGGTTTCTGCCCCTTCATGCTAACACCACAGTCTGTAAAGACCCTGTCCTCGGAGAGGTCATTTCCAGAAGTCGCAGCAGTGACGCTGAAGCCTGCCTCCTCCTCCACAGTCCTGGTCTCGGCGCTGGTGCCTGTGACACTGTGTCCTCTCCGGAGTTCTGGCCTTAACTCGCGTCTTCCCTTGGAACACGCTCTTTCCTCAGCACAGTTTCTCCCCGAATTCTGATGCAGTGGTGCAGTCTCTGCTTCCTCTCCCTCCTCCATCCCTGCACCCACTTTCCTCTCTGGCTTCTTCATGAAACAGAACTGACCTCAGCCCCCCCTTCCTTCCTGCCACAGTCCCCGCCTCTGCACCCTGGTACCTGCGTACCTCTGTCTGTCCAAGTCCCACCTCTCACCCCAGCATTGGCCCCTGTCCCTCCTATCAGGAGCCTTCCAGAGCTCTCTGACCACTCAGTTCCATCCTGCCATGGCCTCCGCCACTCACTCATTTTTTAAGAACTGCCACCAGATCAGGTGATGCGGAAATGCAGCGTGGACCATCTTCTTCTTGCCTAGAGAGCTGGAAGAGCAGTGAGGGGGCGAACCACCCTGTCCGGACCCTCTGCCGTCGAGGGGGAGGGGGAGAGAGAGAGACCAGAGAGGGTTGGGCCCTGGCTCAAGGGCTGCTCCTGGAGGTCCTAAGGGGCCCTGCAGCAGTGCCAGGGAGAGAGCCCTGGTCACTGCAGGCACGGCGAGTTCCTTAACCCTGCGTTATCTCTGTGGCCCTGCCCCATTCTTTATCAAAGTGCAGCTCAGATGCCAGCTCCCAGAAAGCTCCCTGCCACTCCTTTCTAGGCTTCCAGTCACCTCTCCCGTGTTCCTGAGTTTCCCTGAGTCTGTGGGCGACCCTGTGCTTGGCGTGGCGTTGAGGTTGTCAGAGTCCCATCCTAGCTTCTCATCCTAGCTGGGTGGGGGGCGCCTGCCGGCAGCTGGCCCAGGACAGGGTTTCAGGCACCTGGGTTGACTTTTTGAGTTGCTGTTCCTCCGAGGTCCAGTTATAGAAGTCCAGGCCTGGGCTTGGCAGACGACAGCCTGTGGGTCGCATCTGCTCTTTGCCCGGGCCTGTGGACGGAGTTGGGCTGCGACCCCGCCAGGCAGTGGCCTTCCAACCACTCGAGGCCCGGAGCCCCGGATGGTCCCACGGAACTGCCCTTTCACAGCAAAGGCCTACCCAGCCTCTGTCCACCAGTGTCCAGACTTTGGAAGGATACTGTATCCGCTGTGGAAGGAAGTGAAGGAAACAATGTTTGTTTCAACTCTTCACCTCTTGGTTATCGTAGCTAGGTGCTGGCTTTTTAAAAATCACCTTATTTAAAGTGAAGTGCAGTTAATTTGGTCATAATAGTGTTGCTGACAACCAAGTTATTGACTAGATGGGATCTCTAGGCTTTGGATTGATAGACTGCTGGGTAGAAAGAAAGACGGCCAGATTTTTATACAGTGAAAATGATCTTTAATATGTTTTTTTATATTCTCAGGAAAAAAAATCGTGTCTTACTAAGTAGTTTTGTCGGAAGAAATGATTTTTAATAAATAAGTTTTAAGGGGCTGGAGCGATAGCACAGTGGGGAGGGCGTTAGCCTTGCACGCGGCCGACCTGGGTTCAAGTCCCAGCATCCCATATGGTCCCCCAAACACCACCAGGAGTAATTCCTGAGTGCAGAGCCAGGAATAACCTCTGTGCATCGCAGGGTGTGACCCAAAAAAGCAATACATACATAAATAAGTTTTAAAATAAATAACATAGTAAACAGCTAAAAATGTGTAAAAAGAAATAATTCTTGTCTTTTTTTTTTTTTTGGATCTTTGGGCCAAACTTGACTGTGCTCCGGGCTTACTCCTGGTTCTGCTCTCAGGGATCCTCCTGCCGGGCTTGGGGGATCATGTGGGTTTCCGGGGATCGAACCTGAGTTGGCCACGTCCAAGGAAAGCACCTCCCTGCTGTACCCTGGCGCTAACCCTGAAATAATCGTGTCTGACATCAACCTCACCGACGGGCTTTTCATTTTGGTTACAGGGATGCACCAGTTCTGAAGCTGTGTCCAGCGTCTGTTTCAATCTTAAGGAGGAAAGCAGTGTGTTTGTGCGTGCCAGATTTTGCAGGTCGAGTTTTGCGGCCCCCAGGTCACTCACTACCTGTCCTCTTTGTTCTCTCTCCAGAGGGACGCATGGTCATCCAGGACATTCCTGCTGTCGCCAGCAGAGGGCACATGGAGAACGCCCCTGACCTGGTCTCTGACTCCACCTACTACAGCAGCTTTTACCAGCCGTCTCTGTTCCCGTACTACAACAATCTGTACAACTACCCGCAGTACTCCATGGCCTTGGCCGCGGATTCTTCTCCCGGGGATGTGGGAAGCCCTCTCGGAGGGTCCCCTGTGAAGAACAGCCTGCGGAGCCTGCCGGGACCGTATGTGCCTGGCCAAGCCGGAAGTCAGTGGCAGGTAAGATGCTGCCCAAAGCCAAGTGGGCATGGGACCGACCCCCACCCCTCAAACTCCCCCGTCCCCCACACAAACACACACACACACACGCACACGCACACAGACTCAGCACGCACACATGAACTCTGGGGGATGAAAACCCCACGTGTGCTTGCAGTTCTCCAGATCAGGGGAAGAGCGATTATCTGGAGGTGGCCTCCTCAGCAGCGGACTGAGGTGGTACTAGGCGGGTTCTCCTTGGCGGGAATGCTCAGCTCAGCACCACCCAGCGGCTCTCTGGCTGTCGGGTGCACTGCGACTCCGTGAGCTGATCTGGGACGCCTTGAGCACGCTTATTATTAGACTCCTTGGCCGAATTTTGGTTCTGGTTACAGTGTGAGGTATGGCTTTGGGAGTTTGCCCGTGTTTTTCAAGCGGGTCGAAATTTTCCTCGGATACTTTCCATTCTCCCCCTGCAGGTTCTAGACGAAGGGGGGGATGGGGACTGCTCAACTCAGCCCACCTTTGGGATTCTCTTTCTCTCCTCCCCCCCATGGATGACTTGCAGGGCACGTTAAAAGGTCCGCTTTTAATTCCTGGGGGGGTTCAGTCCTGTAGTTTTCCACATGGCTCATTTTCAGAATCGAGCTTATCTTAAAAGGGATTTTAATTTTTATTAGTGAAAGACCATGAGGTACAGTTGCAGACTTACAAATTTTTGCGCTTGGGTTTTAATTATACAATGATCAAGTACCCATCCCTCCACCAGCGCCCATCCTCCACCACCACGGGTCCCAGCATCCCTCCCACCCCCCATCCCCTCCATCCCACCCTGCCTCTGTGACAGGGCATGTCCCCTTGTTCTCTCTCTCTCTCCTTTTGGGTGTTGTGGTCTGCAAAAGAGTCCTGTGTTTTGCAAGAGAGGCATTGGGTGGCAATCATGTTCAGTCCATAGTCTACTTTCAGCATGCACCTCCCATCCTGGGAGGATCCTCCCAGCACCGAGAGGAAAGGTTTTGATTCACGGAGCTTCGCGCTGGGCTCCTTTGGGCCTTTCAAAGCTTCAGTTGGATTTTATGATCCAGGGCAGGTTTTTAGGTTGATTTCCGTTAGAGACTGCCCTCTCTGAAAGGAGAAATCAGTATCACAATTTTGAGATGAATGGCCAGCTCCTCCTGCATTTCTAAGAACTCGGGGCCAATCTTCTTCAACTCTTGGGATGTTCTGGTTTCGCGCTGAGTCCAGACTTGCAGGGATCAAGTGGGAGGGCCTGGAAAACCGGTTGGCTTAGGAGATGGAGGCCCTCCCGTTGATCATCGATTTGCTCGAGCGGGCCCAGTAACGTCTCCATTGGAGACTTTGTTGTTACTGTGTCTGGCATAGAGGAGGAGCAAGAAAATGATGCTCTGAGAGACAGCTCAGGAAGAGTCTCACAGAGCACCAGAAATCTCCTTGGTGCGTTGACCCTCCACCTTGTCCGTCTCTCAGATGCGGCTGACACGCTGTTACTTTGCACTCTGCCCGCAGACCTCGGGGAGGAGTGAGGGACAGGTATTTCCCCGCGGAGCCTCCCAAGGTCTCTTCCCGGAGGCACGGTGTGTGGAAGTGCTCCTGGGGCTTGGGGGGAGTCCCCACAGGCGCCCGCTGATCCTGCTGCGTGCCAGGGTGGAAGGGGAGGTCAGTCCCGAAAAGTCTGACTCCTGTGAGGGACACAGTTTGATGCTGCTTCTCAAACCTCAGTGACGCACTGAGGAGAAGCACCACCAGAAGACTCCGGGGCCACATTTACCGTCAACACGTTTGTTCCAAAGGCCTGAGCCTTGATTCCTCCTGCCAGTCACCGTTGGGGATTCATTCTCAGAGAGCATCATCTTGGCAGGAATCAGTTCCTCATAGGAATGACTGAGCAGGGAATCCTCCTGGTACTGTCCACTCTGTGAAGCGGTGACACCTTGAGAGTCAGGGTCACACAGGCGGGAACCCATAGGGTGTTTCAGCCGTGTCTGTCTGGCTGCAGCGTAGTTCTCCCCTTCACTAATGTCACCGTCACTGTCACTGTCCTCCCGTTGTTCATCGACTTGCTCGAGCAGGCCCAGGAACGTCTCCATCGTGAGACTTGTTGTTACTGTGTTTGGCATATCGAATACGTCACGGGGAGCTTGCCAGGCTCTGCCGTGTGGGCGAGATACTCTCGGTAGCTTGCCGGGCTCTGCGAGAGGGGCGGAGGAATCGAACCCGGCTCGTCCGGGCTGGCTGCACGCAAGGCAAACGCCCTACCGCTGTGCTATCGCTCCAGCCCACTTCACTAATGTGGCTTTTATTTGTATGTGTGGCTGCTCATAGTCAAATTGGTCCCTTGTGCTTGTCCCCTGTACTATTTAGGGTGATTGGGCTATTATGAAGTATCTGTCTTGTAAGTGAACTGAGAATCTAAAAGTCTTACTTGACCTCTCGCATTTGTTCGTTAGCATTAATTATAGCGCTGTAGGAACTCTATAACCATCGAGGCAAAGACAGAAGTGTTCCTCGGTACTCTGAGCACTGTGGGAAGGGGACAGAGTCCATGCTGCAGACACACTCCTTAGAAGGCGCCGTCCAGCCTCTGTGAGCAGGGACCACCCTCCCCCACCCCAGCCCCCGCCAAGTACAGACTGTCTCCAAAGAGTCCCATCGCTGGAGGGTCTGTTGAGTACCACAGCCAAGACCCTCCTTCAGGATTTCGGCTCTTCGTGGGTTGTATTTCTACCCAAGTACTTTGATTTGGGGACTCTTAAACTCTCTGCTGAATATTTTTCTTCACTTGTGGAGGTCAGAAACTGTTGGAAACTTCCCGAACAATGATGTGCAGTTGAAAGCTTCGAATGCCTCCTTAAACTCTATAATCTAGACCCTGAATGTCTGCGATACATTGAATTTCTTGCTCCTTGTCCGTTGCGATTTGAATCTGCGCACAGCTGTGTGTATGAGTATGATTATCCCTAAGAGTGTCTTTGTCAAGGTGACGGGTTCCAGCTCGTGTTTTTTTTCTCTGTCCCCTTTTAAGAGCCCATGGGTCAGTCTTGTAAGAAAATGGACATTAAGTTTGGGGATTCTTACGGCCTTGTAGTCCTGCCAGTAGAAATCACGTCCACTGAAATACTTGCCCCAGAGAGATAACGGCATCAATTTGCCAGGTGACAGGTGACTGTCAGCCCAGCGAAGCCTGTGCTGAGCTGGACCGTAGTGTCCTAGCACACCCCCATGCAGGGAACACGGACGGCTGTTGCTGAAGAGGTTAGAGTGTGTGGTAAAGCGGGCATGAGGAGCCAGGCCTAGTGGTCCAAGAGCCAAGAGAACAGTGCTCTGTTCTGTGAGGAGCTTGGCTTCCGACAGCAGAAGATTTGTCTTTTGTTGTTGGTGTTGTTGCAGTTTTATTTATTTACTTTTTTTGCGACACACTGACCAGTGCTCAGGAGTTACTCCTGGCGGTGCTTGGGATGCCGGGGATTGAACTTGGATTGACCACGAGCAAGGCAGGTGCCCTACTCACTGTGTGACTGCCCTGGCCCTGGCTGTTCTACCTGTTTGGGTAGCTGATAGCAAAATTCGTCACCTCCGAATGACTTTTCTGACCTGTGGGTGCCCCTTTCACTTTGTAGGACTTGTTGCAGGGAAGCCCCAGGAGATGTGGCTGCAGGCTGGGCTGGTTGGGGGAGATTTCTGCGTGGCAGAAGCAGCCGTTCATCGTTCCTTTCGCTTGACCCTCTTTTATCGGATCGCCAGTCTTTGTTTCTATGTATTTTCGTTATCTACCTCAGATACCCTTTGTAGCAAAAAAGAGGGTCTGTAACGTTTCAGTGACTGAAAAAAATTGACACATGAATCTGGGCCAAAGAGGGATGTATGTTGAGTAGTTTTTATCATCGGGAGAGGAAGTTTATCCACTTAGGAAATAGAAAACAAAGTACAAAGAGGAGATTGGGGCAGAGTAGGGTTAGGAAGATAAGTACGGAGAGGAGCCTTAATGGCAAATCGCGCTTAGGCCTGGGACAGCGTTGCTGTCCGTCAGGAACCGAAGGCCCCACTTGGTCGCTGGAGTTGGTGGGTCTGGGTGTGGGAAGCAGCTGGGGCCAGGGGTCCCCTGTCTTGGATTTCTGCAGGGAGGGGCCGGCTCTGTTCTGTGCACAGGCCACGGGACCCGGGCTGGGCCCGGCTGCTCCATCACCCTCTGCTCTGGAGAGTGTCCCGCAACTGTGCGGGGTTGGGGGCTGTGCTGGTCTCTCTCACTGACCCTTCTCTGGCCCGAGCCCGCCTCCCCCTAAAGGGCCCGAATTCTTTTCATTTTTTTATTTTTATTTTTTTTTGCTTTTTGGGTCACACCTGGCGATGCCCAGGGGCTCCTCCTGGCTCATGCACTCAGGAATCACTCCTGGCAGTGCTCGGGGGACCCTATGGGATGCTGGGAATCGAACCCGGGTCGGCCGCGTGCAAGGCAAAAGTGCTCCCCGCTGTGCTGTCACTGCAGTTTTTATTTATTTATTTATTTTTGCTTTTTGGGTCATACTCGGCGATCTCCAGGGGTTCCTCCTGGCTCTCTCACTCAGGAATTACCCCTGGCGGTGCTTGGGGGACCATATGGGATGCTGGGATTCGAACCCCAGTCGGCCGCATGCAAGGCAAATGCCCTGCCCGCTGTGCTGTCGCTGCAGTTTTTATTTATTTATTTATTTTTGCTTTTTGGGTCACACCCGGTGATGCCCAGGGGCTCCTCCTGGCTCTTGCACTCGGGAATCACTCCTGGCGGTGCTCGGGGGACCCTGTGGGATGCTGGGAATCGAACCCGGATCGGCTGCGTGCAAGGCAAATGCCCTCCCCGCTGTGCTATCGCTCCAGCCGCCTGAAGTCATTTTTAAGATTATAGGTGAGAGAAGTCGGGGGGCTGCACCTGGCAGTGATTTTGGGCGGGCCGCTCCCAGAAGTGCTCGGGGAGCCATCGGTAGTAGGGCCCCAACTTTCGGGATCCATCTCCACTGCCCCGGAAG